CAGAGTTTCCTCTGAGTCAGTCCCCAAATTATGATTTAACACCAGGGTATTAGGAAACTTAAAAAGCATAGCTCAGAGATCCTCGTTTGTTCCTTGCAAGATGTGAAAGCAGTAAATTCCAGTCTTGGCTTACTTCTGATTTTCAGAATAAACTTAAGCCTAGCATTGCCAAAGAATTTCTGCAGGAATCTTTAAAGTTGCTTTTCCTATAAATTTATACTCTGCAACATACACCCAAGAAAAACATGATTTCTTCCAGACACACAAGACTAGGGCTGATGTGTGAGGCAGGGAGTAGATAAGGTTTGAGTACTGTGTATTTCGTAAAGGCAAACTTATACTGGAGTGAAGTTAGAGAAGACCAAACTGCAGAATTGAATTAAGGTACAGTATAGCAGACAGCTCAGAAAGAACTGGTGCCTCTGAAGTTCTTCTCTTAGATTGTGGAACATCGTGGCCCAGTCAATGTTTGTACTCTGGAAGCAATGAGAGACGATGTACTCTTTATCAAAGTTTGCTTCATATTTGGTTCAGATGTTACAAAGAAATTCTTGACTGTGAGTGTGGTGAGGCACTGGCACAGTTTGCCCAGAGAAGCTGTGGATGCCCCATTCCTGGAAGTGTCCAATACCAGGTTGGACAGGGCTTGGAGCAACCTGGGCTACTGGGAGGTGTCCCTGCCCATGGCAGAGGGTTGGAACAACATAAGCTTTAAGGCTCCTTCCAACTCAAAACCATTCTGTGATTTAGAGCCTAAACAGGTTGCTGAGAAGCAAAAGCTGCTAATGGCCTTGTAGGTTCGTTATCTCCAAAGAAACAAGAAAAACCTATTGCCCCTGGGAGTTTACAGCATAATTGACTCACAGAATCATAGAATATGCCAAGTTGGAAGAAACCCACAAGGTCATCGAGTCCAGTCCTTAGCCCTGCACATGATCATTCTTAAGAGTCACACCAGGGACTGAGAGTATCATCTTGAACTCTTTCAGCCTTGGTGTGTGACACTGCCAGCACCCAACCTCCCTCTGGGGGGAAGAAACTTTTCTAATATCCAGTCTAAACCTCCTCTGACACAACTTCAGACCATTCCCTTGGGTTCTGGAAGCTGTAGCTGCAGTGAGGTCTCCCCTTAGTCTCCTCCAGCTGAACACATTAAATGTTCTCAGCCACTCCACACACAGCCTCAAGGCCCATGACTGTCTTCATTGTCCTGCTTTGGACACTCTCTAAGGGCTTACTATCTTTCTTACACTGTGGTGCCCAAAACTGTCACAATATTTGAGGTTAGGCCGCCCCAGAGCAAAGCAGGACAATCCCCTCCCTCGCCTGGCTGGCGATGCTTTGCCTTATGCCCCACAGGACCAAGTTGGCCCTCCTGGCTGCCAGGGCACTGCTGACTCGTAATCAACTTGGCATGAACCAGGACCCCTGGATCACTTTCCTGGCACAGCTTTCCAACATCTCATTCCCCAGTCTGTACACACAATCATGGTTGCCCCATCCCAGGTGCAGAAACTGACACTTCTCCTTCTTCAAGTTCATATGATTGCCCGTGGCAGCAGTGGAAGCTCTGCTAGTGGAGAGCAAGTAACATGGTATTTGCAGTGTTTAGAAGTCCAGTCTTTCTTAGAAAATGCTACAGAAAGTGGTGTTAGCATGAAGACAGACAGATCAGACAGCCCTGGTCTGCTCAAGAAGCCTCAGGCTGCAAAAGAGAGAAGAGAAACACCAAAGGCAGCAACACTTCACCAAAGTACAGTGGGTTGATTGGGTTGGAAGATTGAGTTCTGATTAAAGTTTTATTTTTAAAAGGTTCACTGCATGTTGTAGTCTCTGACAAGCAGCAGCAGGACAGAATATCAGGGCGAGAGGAAGCACCACCGCAGCAGAATTCACCCCTCACTCCCCACAGCAGCCTTTGTTCTGTTGCTTCCTTGAAGAGAGGTAGGAGCACTCCCTGCCTTCAGGCAAAAACGACACCAATTTTATTGGACTTCAGTTGATGGAGAACAGAAGGGCAACAATGGCTCACAAAACACACCAAGAAGTGTCACATACAGGGGCAGGGAGACAACAGAAGAAATTGCTTTCGAACTGCTCTCCAAGGAAGAAAGGGGGATCCACAAAACTGTTTTAATGTTCCCAGTTACTGTCAGTCAATTTCATATCCTTCCTCAAAAGAAACTTAGGACACACCTCTCCCCCATGAGTTAAAGAAATCAAGTGGTAGTAAACTCATGGGAAAAAACTAGACTAGAGTCACCATAGGTCTGTGCAGGCATCAACATTTGTGTCTCTAGAAAGACCGGTTGTGACAGACTATTTTTAACAAAGCTAACAAATTGGCCAAGTTTCTACTGTGACACTTTAACCCAATTTCTGTTCAAAACCTGTTGAAGTACTTTGCCTCAACACGTGTCTATGTGTTTTACAAATCACTTCCAAAGGAGCTGGATATTACTTGGCTCACTGACGAGGGGAACCCAAGACTTTAAAGCAGGCCTGTGAGCTGCTTCAACTGACAGTGCAGAGCAGCCCAAATGCTGCCTCTTTAACCCTTCATAACACAGTGATTTCTGGGGAGTTTGCCCAAATTCCTACAGTTTCTTTAACACTAAGACCAAGAGTTTGTATAAATGAGAAAGGCCAGAAAACATGCTTTTACACACTTATGGTAAAGTATTACAATTTGCTACAATGTTTTCCTAAATTATGGACAACTTTTTAGCAGAGGTACTGGGTCTCAACCATCTAAGGAAAAAATTCTTTCAATGGACAATCTGAGTCTTGAAGAAAAGGACAGACCAGAAAAAAGCAGTTTGAAATATCATCATGGCTAGGCTTTGGGAGCGAAGATTTGAGAAGGGCTCTACCCATGCTTGCTACAAGTGTGCTGATGTCTAAAGAGGCCGATGTGAGATAGACAAGTCCGGTTGCAGAATGTATAGCAGAAAGACTCCCCAGGTGATATCGACAAGACGCGATTCTTTCTGCGTTGTCTTTTTTCCTCGAGAGTGATCCTGCGTGTGTTCTCAAAAGCAGCAGCAGCGTTATAGATGGTGTGTCTCCAGGCCTCCCGACTGGAGGCCAGGGTAGACCAATGATGGTGATCAATATGGCCAAGGCTGAGGGATTGTTTCAGGCAGTCCTTGTATCTCCTCTTCGGGGCTCCTCTCTTGTGGCAGCCAGTGGCAAGTTCCCCATAAAGCACGATCTTAGGGAGGCGATGGTCCTGCATCCTGGAGACATGCCCTGCCCAGCACAGCTGAGTTCTCAGCAGCATGGCCTCAATGCTCGTGACTGCTGCCTGTTCAAGGACAGACGTGTTGGTCACATCGTCAGTCCAGTGGATGTTTAGGATTGTATGGAGGCAGCGCTGATGGAAGCATTCTAAGAGACGCAAGTGGTGCCGGTAAATGACCCATGATTCAGATCCATATAAAAGAGCAGACAGTACAATGGCTCTGTAAACACTGATCTTAGTACTTTTCTTCAGGTGTTGTTTTGCCACACTCTTTTACGGGGTTTACCAAAAGCTCTGTATGCCTTTGCTAACCTGTTGTCTATTTCTGCATCAATCTTACTGTCTGAGGAGATGATGCTTCCCAGGTAATTAAACTGTTGGACTGATTTGAGTGCTGTTTCACCAATGGTGATATGGGGATGATGGAAGACTTCCTGAGGTGCAGGCTGATATAAAACTTCTGTCTTCTTCAAGCTGACTTCCAGACAAAAAGCTCAGCAGCCTCTGCAAAGCAGGATGTTAAACGCTGCAGAGCTACTTCTGTGTGGGCGACGAGGGCGGCATCATCAGTGTAAAGTAGCTCAGGGACAAGATGATTTAAGGTCTTAGTGTGGGCCTTCAGTCACCTTAGGTTGAATAGGCTCCCATCGGTACAGTATCGAATGTAGACACCATTTTCATCATTGAAGTCTGCCGTGGCCTTTTGGAGCATCATGCTGAAGAAGATCGTGAATAAGGTTGGAGCGAGAACGCAGCCTTGCTTCACACCATTAGCTGTTGGAAACGGCTTAGAAAGTGCGTCCCCATATCTGACTTGACCATGCTGGTCCTCATGAAGCGAGATGATCATTTTGAGGAACTTGGGAGGACATCCTAAACGTTCCAGAATCTGCCACAGACCTTTTCCGCTCACAGTATCGAAAGCCTTGGTGAGATCAACAAAGGTAACATAGAGTCCTTTGTTCTGTTCCCTGAACTTCTCTTGCAGTTGCCTGAGAACAAACACCATGTCTGTGGTACCTCTGTTGGCTTGGAAACCACATTGGCTTTCAGGTAGAAGTTCTTCTGCTGTGGTGGGTATTAATCTGTTCAAAAGAATTCTTGCAAGGATTTTACCAGCAATGGAGAGCAGAGTAATACCTCGGTAATTTGAGCAGTCTGATTTATCTCCCTTCCTCTTGTACAAGGTGATGATGACAGCGTCACGAAGGTCTGAAGGCAGTTCACCTCTTTCCCAGCAGCGCACCACAAATTCATGAAACTTAACATGGAGTGCTTGGCCACCGTGCTTCCAGATTTCAGGTGGGATTCCGTCAACCCCAGCTGCTTTGCCAGTTTTCACCTGCTGTATTGCTTTAAGAGTTTCTCCCATGGTGGGGGCAGTATCCAGTTCAGTTTTCACTGGTTGTGGTGAAATGTACACGGCTAGTACTGAAGAGAGTCTGAAAGTGTTCAGACCATCGATTCAAAATGGAAACTTTATCTGTGAGAAGCGTTTGGCCATCTGCACTGAGTAGAGGGCTTTGAATCTGGTGTGTAGGACCGTAGGCTGTTTTCAGAGCCTCATAGAATCCCCTGTAATCACTTGTATATGCACATAACTGGATTCTTCCTGCTAGATTGGTCCACCACTTGTTCTGTATGTCACGAAGTTTCTGTTGTAGCTTGCTGCATGCAAGTCGAAAGGCTGCTTTTCTTACATGACAAGATGGCTGAGCAAATATTATAGTTTGAAATATAATATAAGCAACAACAGCACCACAAGGAATTAACAATACTGAAACTTCTTTAATGCAAATGTGAAATACTGTCTTATATACTATTTGAGGAAGTGGACCTTGGTTTTTAAATAAACAACCTACTGCTCAATACTGACTTATATAATCCTATAGAAGCTAATTTTCAATTTTAAACAAAAAAGCTAATATTCAATACTAAGATAAGAAATCCTAGGGGAGCTAAATAAATATGCCATAGCTTATAGATGTGTCCTGAACAAAGCAGATGACTGGTGCTAGGACTCCTCTTGCTGTTCGTCAAATTCTTGTATTAGTCTCTTGCCAGTGTCCACCCTAGCCTAATTCAGTTCACTTTTGATATCTGCCCGGTTGTTAATAAAGACAGTCTGACTGTATCAGTTAAAAATGAAGTTTATTCTTTTCTAAAAGGTACTCTTTGTCAAACACACACACAGAGGGGAGAGGGAAGGTGGATAGCAGCACCAGAAATGGCGGAATAGCCAAATCTGGAAGGCAATATTTACATTAAGCATTCTTCTTCTCTCACTTTCAGAGGGTGTCCCAGCAGCTGCTTCTCTCACTTTCACAGAGTTTCCAAGGTTGTTTACTAGATTCCTGAGTCATCTCTGTGGCCTCCTGTTGGGCAGCTGCTCCTAGCTTCTCCAGCCTAACAGATGCTAAGCCTCCAACAGTCTCTTAATGTGAGACAGCTTATTGTGCAGATACTGACATCTCTTCTTCAATTCAGAGTAGCTGGGGCTACACTACAAAGGAAAGGTGAAAAGAAAATAAGAGCATGCCGACATTTCTGGAGAGTTTAGAATTTCATCTCCTTGAGCCAGGCTCAGTGATTTCCACCTCCTTCACATCTGGTATTACACATACCTGTTGTATCTTCTGATGCTCTGCCAGGACTTGATGACAAAGCATCTACAAGAGAAAAAAACCCATGAAGACAATATGAAGACCATTTCACTGCTACCAGAAAATACAAACATGTGAAACACCAAGAATACACTCAGTTTGAATTGATTTTCTTCCCTGTGAGCTCTGTAGAAGCTTTACAAAAATAAATCCCCAACCTCCTCTATGATCCAGAATCTGCAATTAAACTCAGTAGGCAACAAAAGGATCATGTGCTCAAAGACTGCCCCTTTGGGATATCACTCACGCTGCTGTGCACTCACAGAGAGCTCAAACAGGGTGTTTTTGGCAGGGTTTTGCAAATATGAGACCCAGCCCAAGCAGGGTCTGAGCAAATCTTCCAGTTCCCTCTGTTTCACTGACCAGTACCAAGGAAAGTAAAATACTCCTTTTGCTCACAAATACATTTGAAATCTGGCCAAAATCAAAATAAATGCCATCCAAAAAGCCTCAGCCTGTACACAGAACTAAAGAATTATGATACTGAAGATACAGAATGGTTGTGTCCAAATCAGACAAACCAAGGCTGGGTGGACAGAACATCAGGTTTAGAACAGTCCTCTCTGCTAAAACTGCGGTTGGGATCAGCCACCTGGAGGATGAGTAAGTTGTGGCTGTAGGTTTAGTTATGTGTTGAAAGTCATGGGAAAGAGAGGGTCAGGAAAGCTTTTGGGATTACGGCCACTGATTTCCAGGCACTTCCAGTCTTCTTTCCCATCTGTGTACCAGCACCCCCTCAGCTTGCCAAGATCTTCTTCACAGTTTCATCCTTCTTTACCTGATATGCTGTGGACCCCTGAGTCACGCACTTCAGTTGTTCATTAAAATTCCTGAATTTCTTGGCGATGTTGTCTATCTGAGCCAACAAATTCTGGTATTCACCATACTCTGCATTGAAGTCATCCTTGTAGCTCTGGCGTTGCTCATAGGACACTATAGCTACGTATTTTCTAATGGAAGACAGAAAACATTTTGTTATTTATGTGTTCTAAGGGAACATTCTAATTCATTTCTATTCTATAAAGCACATGCAATTTTACACCAAGCACATGGTGAATGTCAAGCCCAGACACCCAAGCTCATGTGATTTCCATGATTTCCTGGTTCAACAGGTAAGCCTGTATGCTTCATGAGAATGTCATCAGGTAACTCTAGAAATGGGACACATTTCTGTGACAGTTATATATTGATATTTTGCAGTTTAGAGTTCTTCTTCAGAAACAAGTGAAGAAAACATTGGCATTTGTTCAAATATCAAAGGACTTACATACACATCGCTTCAGTGAGAAAAGAAACACTGCAATTTTACAATCTCTTTCTATGAAAGGACAGCTTAATTAAGTTACATTGACTTCTCAAAGTACATCTGCATTACATGTTTGGAAGGGACTGCATTTATGAAGTTGGGTGCTCTTAGGTTTTTGGCTACATTTATGTCCACTGAACAGCAAAGCAGAGATAATGATAAAATTTGATTAGTTTAGTGAACACCAGTTAAATTACTGTCCATTCAACTGAGGCACTGGCAATACATCCACAAAAACAAACTCCAGAGAAGTCTGAAACCACAATAATAAAACCCCAAAACACCACATCAACTCTTATGGAGGGCGAAACCCACAAATGCTTAAAGCCACTGATGGGAGTGAAACTGCCTTCACTCCCTTCTCCCTCAAATGAACAGGAACAGGTTTAACAAGATTATTGTGCAGATCTAAGATGAAGTGGCAATTCAAACAATAGATCCCACTTCCCAACCCCACCAATACTTCTGGCCCACAGGGCCTGAAGACCTGGTTCTGTTTGGATGACAAAGACACCTCCACACAGGGACCAATACTCTAAGCCACCCTGAAATTAATTATAACAAGCAGTAAAAATTTCACAAGTTGAAATTCACTACCAACCCAGAAAACAACTTCTCCCAGTGATGCATCCCAGGCCAGATGCACCCAATCAGCGTGCTGGATGATTTTGAAAAGTCCTTCAACATTTTGGGAGGTAGCTGTGAAGCAATAGCCTGGACTTCTGGCTTATGCACAAGTGATATCCCCTAGCAAGAAAGAACCCAGCACAGCACCCACAGTGCAAGAGTGTAGAGAGGGAAGAAAGGAGAGGCGAAATGGGTAGAAACATGGACCTGTTTTGTTTTTCTGGCTTTTGCATACACTTTGTTTAAAAAGCTTGAGTCCCTTTACGTTCATACTATCAAGATTGAAATTATCTATGTGCTAAAGCTGTGATCATACTCATGAATTAGCTAGCACTAAGAATCAGGAAGAGAAGCTGGAATAAACTACCAAAGTATTTTGAGTATATTTGATCATGTTGCCGGTGCTCTCAGTTTTCAGACTTTCTCTGTGGGTCAGGCAGATGTCTGATACAGCACAACCTAATTTTTCCCACATCACTGTGACCAGGAGATTATCTGTGAGATTGTTCCAGACATGTCTCCTTTCACAGGGAAATTTTCATTTAAGTTCTTAATCCCAATCAGAACTAAGCCAACTTCACGAAATCTTGCATGAAGGTTGTTTTTCTTTAGGTTTTGATCTTGGCTTCCTACTTCAATATTCAGTTACAAAAAGTAACCATCTGTCTTGCTTCTCAATATCGCTGCTCCCAGTTGATTGGGAAACAACACAGCAGAGACTGGGAATTGAACATGCGCTGGAGTCCTCAGCCTACACATGGGAAACATGAAACTGCTTCCCTGCAGGGCCAGGCTTCCCCTCAGTCTTTCCATGGAGCATCTCTGACTTGATAGGATGGGACTGAGGTTCTGCCACACTATCGGCTTGAAGGCAGATGGAAGATGCACCAAAGCTGCAGAGCTGCAGGAGGCCTGAGCGCCCTTGCCAATGTCACTGCTCCCACAGAAGCAATTGGCAGTGTTCAACCAGATAAACACACCCTCCCCTCCTGCTCTGCAGATTCCACACAGGGACACAACACCGCTGCTGCAGCTGACACTGCGCAACAGCACTGCAAGCAAGTGTCAGGCTCATCCTGTCCCTCCCCATCATGGTGTTCATTTCAGCTCTGAGAACTGAGGGCACATCAAAACCTTCTCAAAATCATCTTTCCGAAAGAGCAAGGAGCTTGAGACTGCACCCCAATGAGTACCAAGGGAGATAATTATTTTACTCACGTCAAGTAGTCTGGTTGTTCACTTGATGATACAGGGTCTGTGGAGGCAGGGAAAGTTTCTTTAACCACTACAGAAAAGCAGAATTTTGACACCGGAGATAAGCAGATTTTTCCTATAGACAAACAAACCAACTGGATGGGCTTAAAACTGTCCTTAACCTGACTCAGGATGCACTGGGGTTCCAACAGGAATCTGAGACATATCCTTTTGTTGCACCTTGGAGGTGCAGGGGAAAGTGGAGCTGACAGTTTCAGATGTGTTAGAAGTTGGAAGGACTGTGGGAGGCAGTACTGAGGAAGCAGCACAGAGGTCACTGGCTGCTGGCTGGACTCGACTGGCCAGGCGACCAATCCTCTGCTTTTTGCTCATGACAGGGCAGGTGAAACTGGAATCCAGAGGCCGTTTCTGTAATGTATCAAAATAACTAATTAATATATGATCAGAATTAGGCTTTCCTCCCATTCTGAGAAACAGGCATTTCTGAACAGGCATCTGTTGAAAACACATCATTCTCAGCCACAGGGAGCTGTCAAACAAGGAAATACTGCTGCTAAATACGCGGTTTATGTCCTTCCTAGTTTCTTGTCTTGGAATATAAAAAGTCCTTCTTCGACAGCTGAAAGGCTTTGGGAGAAAGACACTCCTTGCAGCAGCCCTATTAAAGGCTTCCCAAAACAAGGAGGTCAGGTCAGTTTTGTTTAGGTCCCAATTTCCATAGGCACACTGGGGTAAGACTCAGCTTTTGCTGTCACACAGCCACACGATTTACTAAAGCAGCCCTGAGAAGCAGGCGGTGGGTGCTGATCACAGCATGTCAAGTGAAGAGCTGGGAAGAATAGGGAAAAGCTCCAGTCTGGCTACAGTTTTCATCCCAGCTGTACTCCAGCTGAAACGCTGGTTCACATCCTCTTCCCTGCCAAGCGTACCCTGCTCACATCCATGTGCATTGGAAGCTGGGTCCAGGAGTGCCAGACAAGGCTCTGCACCAGCTGCTGAAAGAAATCCACATTCTATGTGGACAGAGACAGGTCAAAAGAGGTTGCTAGGACCCACACCATTTGCTGCTATGGCTGGAAGAGAGTTAGGGAAAAACAGAGCTGTGTCCTCCCTGCTCTATTTAAAGAGAATTCTCTCCATGGTGGAAGGTTTTCTGTACTTCCCAGCTCATTTCCATACACAGCGTGCACTGACGTCCAGTTTGAGGCTCAGAAAGCCTCCAACTTTTCACACATGGGCTCCACTGAACCAAAACTGGTCCTTAAATCCTGTCGAGAGGGGGGAGAAACAATATTCCTCCAAGTGGATCATTACTGTAATTTGACCTTATTCTAGTCTTTGCTAAGATTTCTATTTAGACAGTACCACAAGGACGTTTGGGTGTGTTTTATGGCCTAGAGCTGCCAGATCACAAAAACCCTTGAACCGGACACAGTCAGGTACCAAAGACACAAACACATCTTGTCTTAGCAGAGCTTCCTGTGCATCATAGTAAACAAATCCC